GGGGGGGGGGGGGGGGGGGGGAGGAGGAGGGAAAGAAAAATCGGTAGAGTTAAACCTCCCGAAATTGCTGTACAAAAATTGGACTACTTTCCACGGTGCCGTACTTGCCGATAAGAAGTACTTCTTTCACTTATATTGGTTTTCAAGAAAGCCTATATTTTTTTCTTTGAAGCAAAAATTTGTCAAAATTTTATGCTTTATCGCCCTGGATAGTACTGAGATGTCTGTTTTCTACTGAAAAAAGTAGTGGTCTCTTACGTTTGCTTTTCGAGAAAGCCTAATTTTTCCCTTTTTGAAGATTTTATAATTTGTCAAGATTTTATACTTTACACTGCATTGGCTTCTACCAAAATCTCTGTTTCCTAATGAATTTTTATCTTAAAAAAACTTTTTGTGCATTTTTTTGTGCAAAAAAAATTTTTGCATAAAAAAAATTTTTTTTGTGTTAAAAAATTTCTTTTCTATTTATCGATGTGTGTCTCCTGTATTTTCAATTTTTTCAAACTTTGAACTTTACGCTGCGTTAGCTTGTACCAAGATCTCGGTTTTCTAATGAATTTTTGCCTAAAATTTTTTTTTTTTGCAGTTCCAACTTCCTGTCGGGATATATCTCCCATATTTTCAATATTTTCATTATTTTACTATTTCAGTGTTAGTTAAATCATGATGCTTTCTGAGATAAATCTTGATTTTTTTGTGCTCTAAGACTGTTTGGCAAACATCCACTAAGTACATTGATCATGCCTACGGTTATGTTTAACAAGGTTGATTATTTTATTAGGTATCACTGAATTTTGGTGTTGATTCGATGGACGGTTTTTTGCGTTTCTCGATTTTTTTGCGCCATATTCGTGATAAGTTTTCTTAAGTGAATTTTTTACCATTTTCGAGGGAAATTCCAGTAGTTTCGTCAAATTTTGTCAAAAATGAAGCAAAATGAGGGAGAGGAAAGGGGACTGATACACCGTTTTCGAGGGATATTCCAATAGTTTCGTCAAACTTCGTTGAAAATGAAGTAAAATGAGGAAAGGGACTAACTGCTTTGTAGCGATCTGAGCTAGAACTGGTATTTTTCTTCGTAAAAAAAAAAATTGGGGCGTTTTTTTGACCCGAAAAAAGGGGGTACCAGTGATTTTG